GGAGGCAGAACCAGGTGGATCTCTTTGAGTTCGAGGCCAGCCTAGTCTACAAGAGCTAGTTCTAGGACATGCACCAAAGCTACAGAGAAACCCTGTCTCGAAAAAACAAACAAACAAACAAACAAAGAAAAAACCCCAAAATAAAACAAAGCTTCTCTAAGCACAAAAAAGTGAAGTCCTGGAGGATGTCCTGAGGGTTTTCTAAAATCTGTGACTGAATGATATTCATGGATTCATTGTAGCGAGGGGAGCAGGGAATGAGGGACCTTAGAGTTGGCTTCTCCTTGCCAAGCCTCAGGAAGGCAGTTTGGAGACCAGGGCATTATCCCAAAGCCAGACCCCTGAAATCAGCCTCCCGTTCTGGGAAGAAGTGATGAATGGATGCTCAGGGACGGTCTCTGGGGTCACTGGGTTGCAGTCTGTGATGCTTTTAGCAGTGGGGGGATAAGCTATGCCACTGCAAAGCTTTAATCCCTAATATTGTGTTTTCTGGTGTGCCCCACCACGACCAGGCTAAGAGTGGAAAATCTTTTTTCAATCTTTATTTATGTACATTGGTGTTTTGTCTGCATGTATATCTGTGTGAGGCTGTCGGGTAAACTGCAACTGGAGTTACAGACAGTTGCCACCACCAGGACTCAGTTCCCAGCACCCTCATGACAAGTCAGTCTAACTCCAGTTCCCGGGGATCTGATGCCCTCACACAGATATCCATGCAGGCAAAACACTAATGTGCATAAAATAAAAGTAAAATTTAAAAATGATTAAAATCAAGGTGGCACACACCTTTAATTCCAGCACTAGTAAGGCAGAGATAAGCGGATACTAGTTGAGTTTGAGGCCAGCCTGCTCTACAAAGTGAGTTCTGGGTCAGCTAAGACTCTTTCACAGAGAACCCTGTCTTGAAAAACAAGAAAAACAAACCAAAACAAAAAAAAGGCAGCGATTCAAATAGTATGTCCAGTAGGATTGTGATGTAACAATTTATAGTTATTATTATTCTCTTTTGTTTTTCTGGTTTCTCTAAAATGTGCATCCTGCGGGTTGATATCAGGTTGTCAGGTCTGATAGGAAACCCCTTTATTTGCCAAACAATCTCACCAGTCCCCGAGTTCACTATTATTATAATTATTTTAGTAATTTAATCATCTCTATTTTTATGTTCTCTGGTGTTTTGCCTGCATGTGTGTGTGACAGTGTCAGATCTTGTAGTTACACACAGTTATTAGCTGACATGTGCGTGCTGGGAATTGAACCTGGGTCCTCTGGTAGAGCTGATGGTCCTCGTAGCCACTGAGCTATCACTTCAACGCCTGGTTTTTGCCTTTTTTTTTTTTTTTTGTGTTTTTTGAGACAAGGTTTCATCTGTAGCTTTGGGGCCTGTCCTGGAGATAGCTCTTGTAGACCAAGCTGTCCTCAAATTCAAACAGATCCACTTGCCTCTGACTCTGAGTGCTGGAATTGGAATTAAAGGCGTGGGCCACCACCACCCTGATTTATTCATATTATTGATATTTTTTTGAGACTCGGTCTTTCTCTGTAGCTCCGTCTTGGAACTTGCTGTGTAGACCAGGCTGGCCTTGAACTCACAGAGCTTGGTCTGCCTCTACCTGCTGAGTGCCCAAAACTATTGTTATTACTTCATTCTTACTATTATTGAGTTGATCTCTTCTTACATAGTATAGACTGGCCTTGAACTTTCAGTGATCCTCCTGCCTCAGCCTTCCAAGTACTGGGATTACAGGCATGCACCCTCTGGCCAGTTTAGTTCAGTTTGTTACTCTGAACCTAAGGACTTAATCAAGCAATGTGATGTCCCCATCCTTTTTCATTCCTTGGGATCCTGGTTTCTATCTCTTGCCTTTCAGATCCCAGGCTAAATCAGGTGGCCTCCGGCCTCGAGGCCCGAGGTATGCAGAGGGGACTTTAATCAGCGATTACAGCATCCTCATGGACAAGATCCGCCAACACGAGTTTGTGAACTGGCTGCTGGCCCAGAAGGGGAAGAAGATGGAGTAAGTAACTCCCTGCACCCCTCCTGTCCCCACACCAAACTCTGCTATGTTCACACTGCCTCCTAGGAGGCCATACAGACCGTGAGGTGCACAACCCCACAGCCACCTTTTAGTCAGTGAGGAGGAGGCAGTGGCCATGTCCTGAGTCTCTGACTGGGCAATAGAGATGTCTGGTGCAGATGAGGTGTTCTCCTGTCCTTTATTTCTAAGGGGAGGAACCAGAGAAGAGTGTAGAAGCCACAGAGGGACCCCAGACTTCTGGAGATGAAGGCAAAAGGAGCTGGTTTGCATGATGGCTTCAGACTCTCTAAATAAATCACTATGTGCTTCTCCCAACCTATGCCTAACCTTGTTGTGCTGCTGTTCCCTCAGCCTGCTGGATTCTGAGGAGCCCTCCGTGATGGAGGCAACTGAACACAAGCAGTCACGGTGGGGTTTAGGGGGTTAGGATGTGGAGGAAGAGGCACTGTTGCTCCTACTGTTGAGGTATCAAAGATGTCAGTGTCCCTGGGTTTGGGACTTCCAACTGTTCCTCCAGTCGGCTCACCCCCAAATCGTCTTCATCTCACCAGCTGGAAACACAACCTCACCCGGAGAGAGGCCCAGGCCTTGGAGCAGGCAGGACAGTCTGAGGGAAATGAGGAGACAGAGGGACAACAGAGGTGAGTCCACCATGAGGAGAGAGGGGGAACAGCCTCCAGCCCATTGGCTTCACTGCTCCCTGTAGCAGGTCTTTTCTTTGGACCACCTACAGGCTCCCAAATCGTGAAGGGAGACTTGATTTAGTTATGAATGCTCGGCCTTAGCTTAAGCTTGTAGCATTAGCTCCTATAAGTTAACTATTTCTCTCATCTACATTTTGCTTCTAGGCATTTTTCTTTTTCCCAACCTGGGTCTGTCTGTCTGGCAGCTAGGTAGTGACTGACTTGCTGACTGGCCCTGGGTGCCTCCCCTCTTTCTCCTTCCTTCTCTTCTCTCTCTTTACCATAGCCTAAATTCCTTCTATGTGTTCTCTTTGCCTAACAGTTCCTGCTATCCCTCTACTGACAAGCTTTTTTTTTTTGTTGTTAAAGATTTATTTATTATGTATACGGTGTTCTGCCTACAGGCCAGACGATGGCACCAGGTCTCATTAAAGGTGGTTGTGAGACACCATGTCATTGCTGGGTATTAAATGCAGGACCTCTGGAATAGCATCCAAGGGTAGTTATTCCCTCTGAGTCTTCTCTCCATCCTCTGTGGTCAGCTTTCTATTAGACCAACCAGGTGTCTTCTACAGACAAGGTGAAACAGCAGCATGTCTTTATATAATTAAACAAGTGCAACATAAACAAATGGAACACACTTTTACATAGTTAAGTGATCCACAGCAGCGCCCTCTCTCAGACTGCAGAGGAAGGCTGGGACTCCCTCATAGGAACCCCCTCTTGCCGGGAGGTGGTGGTGCACGCCTGCATTTAAACCCAGCACTTGGGAGGCAGAACCAGGTGGATCTCTTTGAGTTCGAGGCCAGCCTAGTCTACAAGAGCTAGTTCTAGGATATGCACCAAAGCTACAGAGAAACCCTGTCTCGAAAAAACAAACAAACAAACAAACAAAGAAAAAACCCCAAAATAAAACAAAGCTTCTCTAAGCACAAAAAAGTGAAGTCCTGGAGGATGTCCTGAGGGTTTTCTAAAATCTGTGACTGAATGATATTCATGGATTCATTGTAGCGAGGGGAGCAGGGAATGAGGGACCTTAGTGTTTCCTTCCCCTTGACAAGCCTCAGGAAGGCAGTTTGGAGACCAGGGCATTATCCCAAAGCCAGACCCCTGAAATCAGCCTCCCATTCTGGGAAGAAGTGATGAATGGATGCTCAGGGACGGTCTCTGGGGTCACTGGGTTGCAGTCTGTGATGCTTTTAGCAGTGGGGGGATAAGCTATGCCACTGCAAAGCTTTAATCCCTAATATTGTGTTTTCTGGTGTGCCCCACCACGACCAGGCTAAGAGTGGAAAATCTTTTTTCAATCTTTATTTATGTACATTGGTGTTTTGTCTGCATGTATATCTGTGTGAGGCTGTCGGGTAAACTGCAACTGGAGTTACAGACAGTTGCCACCACCAGGACTCAGTTCCCAGCACCCTCATGACAAGTCAGTCTAACTCCAGTTCCCGGGGATCTGATGCCCTCACACAGATATCCATGCAGGCAAAACACTAATGTGCATAAAATAAAAGTAAAATTTAAAAATGATTAAAATCAAGGTGGCACACACCTTTAATTCCAGCACTAGTAAGGCAGAGATAAGCGGATACTAGTTGAGTTTGAGGCCAGCCTGCTCTACAAAGTGAGTTCTGGGTCAGCTAAGACTCTTTCACAGAGAACCCTGTCTTGAAAAACAAGAAAAACAAACCAAAACAAAAAAAAGGCAGCGATTCAAATAGTATGTCCAGTAGGATTGTGATGTAACAATTTATAGTTATTATTATTCTCTTTTGTTTTTCTGGTTTCTCTATAATGTGCATCCTGTGGGTTGATATCAGGTTGTCAGGTCTGATAGGAAACCCCTTTATTTGCCAAACAATCTCACCAGTCCCCGAGTTCACTATTATTATAATTATTTTAGTAATTTAATCATCTCTATTTTTATGTTCTCTGGTGTTTTGCCTGCATGTGTGTGTGACAGTGTCAGATCTTGTAGTTACACACAGTTATTAGCTGACATGTGCGTGCTGGGAATTGAACCTGGGTCCTCTGGTAGAGCTGATGGTCCTCGTAGCCACTGAGCTATCACTTCAACGCCTGGTTTTTGCCTTTTTTTTTTTTTTTTGTGTTTTTTGAGACAAGGTTTCATCTGTAGCTTTGGGGCCTGTCCTGGAGATAGCTCTTGTAGACCAAGCTGTCCTCAAATTCAAACAGATCCACTTGCCTCTGACTCTGAGTGCTGGAATTGGAATTAAAGGCGTGGGCCACCACCACCCTGATTTATTCATATTATTGATATTTTTTTGAGACTCGGTCTTTCTCTGTAGCTCCGTCTTGGAACTTGCTGTGTAGACCAGGCTGGCCTTGAACTCACAGAGCTTGGTCTGCCTCTACCTGCTGAGTGCCCAAAACTATTGTTATTACTTCATTCTTACTATTATTGAGTTGATCTCTTCTTACATAGTATAGACTGGCCTTGAACTTTCAGTGATCCTCCTGCCTCAGCCTTCCAAGTACTGGGATTACAGGCATGCACCCTCTGGCCAGTTTAGTTCAGTTTGTTACTCTGAACCTAAGGACTTAATCAAGCAATGTGATGTCCCCATCCTTTTTCATTCCTTGGGATCCTGGTTTCTATCTCTTGCCTTTCAGATCCCAGGCTAAATCAGGTGGCCTCCGGCCTCGAGGCCCGAGGTATGCAGAGGGGACTTTAATCAGCGATTACAGCATCCTCATGGACAAGATCCGCCAACACGAGTTTGTGAACTGGCTGCTGGCCCAGAAGGGGAAGAAGATGGAGTAAGTAACTCCCTGCACCCCTCCTGTCCCCACACCAAACTCTGCTATGTTCACACTGCCTCCTAGGAGGCCATACAGACCGTGAGGTGCACAACCCCACAGCCACCTTTTAGTCAGTGAGGAGGAGGAAGTGGTCATGTCCTGAGTCTCTGACTGGGCAATAGAGCAGTCTGGTGCAGATGAGGTGTTCTCCTGTCCTTTATTTCTAAGGGGAGGAACCAGAGAAGAGTGTAGAAGCCACAGAGGGACCCTAGAGGTCTGGAGATGAAGGCAAAAGGAGCTGGGTTGCCTGTTGGCTTCAGACTCTCTAAATAAATCACCATTGTGCTTCTCCCAACCTATGCCAAACGTTATTGTGCTGCTGTTCCCTCAGCCTGCTGGATTCTGAGGAGCCCTCCGTGATGGAGGCAACTGAACACAAGCAGTCACAGTGGGGTTTAGGGGGTTAGGATGTGGAGGAAGAGGCACTGTTGCTCCTACTGTTGAGGTATCAAAGATGTCAGTGTCCCTGGGTAAGGGACTTCAAAATGTTCCTCCAGTCGGCTCACCCCCAAATCGTCTTCATCTCACCAGCTGGAAACACAACCTCACCCGGAGAGAGGCCCAGGCCTTGGAGCAGGCAGGACAGTCTGAGGGAAATGAGGAGACAGAGGGACAACAGAGGTGAGTCCACCATGAGGAGAGAGGGGGAACAGCCTCCAGCACATTGGCTTCACTGCTCCCTGTAGCAGGTCTTTTCTTTGGACCACCAACAAGCTCCCAAAACATGAAGGGAGACTTGAATTAGTTATGAATGCTCGGCCTTAGCTTAAGCTTGTAGCATTAGCTCCTATAACTTAACCTGTTTTTCTTTATCTACATTTTGCTTCGAGGCTTTTTTCCTTTTCCTAAGCTGTGTCTGGCTACTGGAAGCTAGCTGGGAACTGATGGGCTGACTGGTCCTAGGTGATTCCCTTTCTTTCTTCCCCATTCCTTTCTTCCTCTTCTCCAGAGCCCAGATTCCATCTACTTGTTCTCTTTGCCCGACAGTTCCTGCTCTCCCTCTACTGCCAAGTTATTGGGGTTTTTTTTTTTTGGTTGTTGTTTTGTTTTTTGTTAAAGGTTTATTTTTTATGTATACAGTGTTCTGCCTATAGGCCAGACGATGGCACCAGGTCTCATTAAAGGTGGTTGTAAGCCACCATGTTGTTGCTGGGTATTAAATGCAGGACCTCTGGAATAGCATCCAAGGGTAGTTATTCCCTCTGAGTCTTCTCTCCATCCTCTGTGGTCAGCTTTCTATTAGACCAATCAGGTGTCTTGGACAGGCAAGGTGAAACAGCAGCATGTCTTTACATAATTAAACAAGTGCAACATAAACAAATGGAACACACTTTTACATGGCTAAGTGATCCACGACAGCGCCCTCTCTCAGACTGCAGAGGAGTGCAGGGACTCCCTCATAGGAACCCCCTTCATATAGGGTGGTGGTGATGCATGCCTTTAATTCCAGCACTAGGGAGGCAGGGGCAGGTGGAACTCTTTGAGTTTGAGGCCAGCCTGTTCTACAAAGTGAGTTCTGGGTCAGATAGGACTGTTTCACAGAGAAATCCTTTCTAGAAAAACAAGAAAACAAACAAAAACAACACATTTAAGGAGCAGGGATACGAACAGTATGTCTCATAGGGTTGGGATGGAATCATGTATTATTATTATTATTATTATTATTATTATTATTATTATTATTATTATTTGGTTTTTCTATCATGTGGGTCCTGCGGGTTGAACTCGGGTTGTCAGGACTGATAGCAAACCCCTTTATTCACCAAACAATCCAACCATTCCCCGAGTTCACTATAATTATTTTAATTTACTCATCTCTATGTTTATGTTCTTTGCTGTTTTCCCTGCATGTGTGTGTGAGAATGTTAAATCTTGTAGTTACAGACTGTTATTAGCTGACATGTGGGTGCTGGGAATTGAACCTGGTAGAGGAGGTGGTCCTCTTAGCCTCGGAGACTTAACTTCAACACCTGGCTTTTGCCTTTTTGTGTGTGTGTGTGTGTGTGTGTGTGTGTGTGTGTGTGTTTTTGAGACAGGTTTTCTCTGTAGCTTTGGAGCCTGTCCAGAGATAGCTCTTGTAGACCAGGCTATCCTCAAATTCAAACAGATCCACCCGCCTCTGCCTCTGAGTGCTGGAATTAAAGGCGTGGGCTACCACCACCCTGATTTATTCATATTATTGATATTTTTTTGAAAGTTGTTCTTTCTCTGTAGCTCTAACTGTCCTGGAACTCACTGTGTAGACCAGGCTGGCCTTGAATTCACAGAGCTTGATCTGTCTCTGCCCGCTGAGTGCTGAATACTATTGTTCTTACTTCACTCTTACTATTATTGAGATGATCTCTTGTTACATAGTATAGACTGGCCTTGAACTTTCAGTCATCCTCCTGCCTCTGCCTTCCAAGTACTGGGATTACTCACAGTGAGTTGAGATCAGTTTGTTACTATGAACCAAAGGACTTAATCAAGCAATGTGATGTCCCCATCCTTTTCCATTCCTTGGGATCCTGGTTTCTATATCTTGCCTCTCAGATCCCAAGCTAAATCTGGTAGCCTCCGGCCTCGAAGCCCGAGGTATGCAGAGGGGACTTTAATCAGCGATTACAGCATCCTCATGGACAAGATCCGCCAACACGAGTTTGTGAACTGGCTGCTGGCCCAGAAGGGGAAGAAGATGGAGTAAGTAACTCCCTGCACCCCTCCTGTCTCCACATCAAACTCTGCTATGTTCACACTGCCTCCTAGGAGGCCATACAGACCGTGAGGTGCACAACCCCACAGCCACCTTTTAGTCAGTGAGGAGGAGGTAGTGGTCATGTCCTGAGTCTCTGACTGGGCAATAGAGCAGTCTGGTGCAGATGAGGTGTTCTCCTGTCCTTTATTTCTAAGGGGAGGAACCAGAGAAGAGTGTAGAAGCCACAGAGGGACCCTAGAGGTCTGGTGATGAAGGCAAAAGAAGCTGGGTTGCCTGTTGGCTTCCGACTCTCTAAATAAATCACCATTGTGCTCTCCCAACCTGTACCACACCTTGTTCTGCTGCTGTTCCCTCAGCCTGGTGGATTCTGAACAGCCCTCCATGAGGGAGGCAACTGAACACATGCAGTGGTGGGGGGTAGGGAGTTAGGATGTGCAGGAAGAGGCTCTGTTGCTCCTACTGTTGCGGTATCAAAGATGTCAGTGTCCCTGGGTGGGGGACTTCCAACTGTTCCTCCAGTCGGCTCACCCCCAAATCGTCTTCATCTCACCAGCTGGAAACACAACCTCACCCGGAGAGAGGCCCAGGCCTTGGAGCAGACAGGACAGTCTGAGAAAAATGAGGAGACAGAGGGACAAGAGAGGTGAGTTCACCATGAGGAGAGAGGGGGAACAGCCTCCAGCTCATTGGCTTCACTGCTCCTTGAAGCAGGTCTTATCTTTGGACCACCAACCAGCTCCCGAATCGTGATAGAAGACTTGAATTAGTTATGAATGCTTAGCTTATGCTTGTACCATTAGCTCTCAGCTGGCAACTGACAGGCTGACTGTCCCTGGACCTGGGTGCTTTCCTTTCTTTCTCCCTCATTCCCTTCTCCCTCTTCTCCAGATCCTAGATTCCTTCTGCTTGTTCTCTGTGCCTGACAGATCCTTCTATCCCTCTACTGGCAGCTATTGTGTTTTTTTGTTTGTTTGTTTGTTTTTTGTTTTGTTTTTAGCAAAGATTTTTTTTTATTATGTAAACAGTGTTCTGTCTACAGGCCTGAATAGGGCACCAGGTCTCATTACAGATGTTTTTGAGCCACCATGTGGTTGCTGAAAATTGAATACAGGACCTTTGGAAGAGCAGCCAGGGTTCTTATTTAACCTCTGAGGCATATCTCCAACCTCTAGTTGTCAGCTTTTTATTAGACCAATCAGGTCTCTTCGACAGGTAAAGTGAAACAGCAGCATGTCTTTACATAATTAAACAAGTGCAACATAAACAAATGCAACACACTTTTATATGGTTAAGTGATCCACAGCAGCGCTCTCTCTCAGGCTGCAGAGGAGTGCAGGGACTCCCCCATAGGAACCCATTTCTCTAAGCTCAAAAGAGTTAAGTCCTAGAGGATGCCCTGAGGGCTTTCTAAGATCTGTGACTGAATGATATTCATGTATTCACTGTAGGGAGGGGAGCAGGGAATGAGGGACCTTAGAGTTGGCTTCTTTTTGCCAAGCCTCAGGAAGGCAGTTTGGAGACCAGGGCATTCTCCCAAAGCCAGACCCCTGAAATCAGCCTCCCGTTCTGGGAAGAAGTGATGAATGGATGCTCAGGGACGGTCTCTCTGGGGTCACTGGGATGCAGTCTGTGATGCTTGTAGAGGTGGGTGGATAAGCTGTGTCACTGCAATACTGTGGTTTATTGTGCCTGAATTGAGGACCATATATTCTGTGGTTATGCAGAACCAGATAGGGCCCCAAACAAAAGAGGCTAGGGGTCTGAGAGTTGAGCTAGCCCAAGGAAGCTAGCTGTGTCTGCTGCCTAGCAGGTGTTCGTACATGCTTTCAACCCAACACTCTAGAGGCAGAGGCAGCAAAATTTGGTTTACATAGTAAGTTCTAGGCCAATTAGGGTTACAGAGTGAGACTCTGTCCAAAAACAAACCATCCAGGCTCCTTCAATCTCTCTCCCATGCAGTTCCTTGCCCAAGAACCCCAGTGATGAAGATGTGCTCAGGGGCTTGCTGATTCAAGAGCTGCTGGCCTGTTGGTTGAGCAAATAGAGCTCTACCTGCTCAGGAGAGGGACACGAAGGCTATGGGGGTGTTGCAAGGTTGTTAGTTAGAAGTTAAGGCTTCCAGGTGACACAAAATATGTGTGTGTTTGTCTCTCACTGACTGTGTGCACATGTATGTCTTGTTGGGAATTGAAACCAGGGCTCTGGAATTGCTACGGAAATGCTCTACCTCTGAGTCTTAGCCCAGGTTGGTCCAGAGCGCCCTGTGTAACCTAGATTGGTCTCAAACTCATGATCCTTGTGTCTCCTCAGCACTGGAATTATAGGTGTGTGCCACTAAACGAACAGTTATCCTTAGACCTCATTCAGATCTATGTCCAAACACACACCAGCAAAGTACCCATTCAGAACCTCAGCATATTGATTAAAATCAGAGATATAATGGGGGTGGGTCTCACACCTGTCACCTAGCTCTTGGCAGGAGGACCTCAGGAAGATTGTCTACAAGCCCGAGTCCAGTCTACACCAGTGAGTTCTAAAACAGCCAGGGGTATGTAGTGATAACCTTCCCCCCAAATTAAAGCTAAAACAACAAACAAGAACAAAAAGAAAATTGTAGCCGGGCATGGTGGCCACAGCTTGGAATACAGAATTCGGGAGATAGAAGCAGGAGGATGTCTTAGTTTGGGGCCAGTCTGTCTTACAAAGCAAGTTCCAGGACAGCCAGATCTGAATGAAACACAGAGAAATTCTGTCTCAAAAACAAACAAAGAAAGGTAATTTGCAGGTAGGAGTGGTTTCTCTATGCCTGGGTACCAGGATAAATTTCCTGTGTTGACTCTTGGTAACCACCCCATCTTTTCTTGTCTCCCTCTTCCAGGTCTGAGTGACTGACCTAGCCCAGCGCAGGACTGGACTCTGCCCTTCGCTTGCTCAGCTCCTGCTTCTGCCCTGGTCCAAAGTCCAAAGTCTCTGAGAGAAGCAAACCAATAAAATCTTGAGCTAAAGTAAATCCTGTTGTCCACTCTGTAAACTTATTTAAATGTCAGCTGAGCCCTTACTGGGCATGGTTGTGTGTATCCTGGGTGTGTCCATGCCTCCAGAGGAAAGCGACACTTCCAGTCATGCCTCTGCGCATGCTGCAAGCATACTGGAAAGTCAACGTAGACAGGAGGGATTCTGACAGAATCACTGTTTGTAATCATGAAGCAGACAGACACAATGCAGCCCTTCATGCTAACCAAGCATGACGTCAAAAGCCTGTCAAACCAGTGCTGCAGAGGGGAAGGCAGGAGTATCAGGAGCTCAAGGACAGACTTAGCTACTCCAGGCTGCCTTAATGTTTCAAAAGCAAGCAAACAAACACAAATAAAGGCAGGCTCTTTCATACATGGGCCTTCCAAGCAGCAGAGACAAATGCATCGTTCCACAGCCAGCAAACCTTCATCTTCAAACACACACACACACACACTCGCACACACACAGGCACACACACACACACACACACAAAAGCATCGTTCCACAGCCAGCAAGCTTTCATCTTCAAACACACACACATGCATCGTTCCACAGCCAGCAAGCCTTCATCTTCAAACACACACACACACACATACACACACGCACACGTAACCACACAGCATGCTGAGTTGCGTGAAGAAAGACAGAAAAGTCCTATTTTTTGTTATTTTGTTTGGCTGTTGAGAGAGGGATTCTTTGTGTAGCTTTGGATCCTGTCCTGGAACTTGATCTGTAGACCAGGCTGGGATTTAAAAGCATGTGCCACCACCGCCCAGCCAGAAGAGTTCTTTCTAGGTGTAATGTGGTGAGAAAATGGCATTTAAGGTGAGACTGGGGGACATGCCAGGGAATGAATGAGCTGGAGAGAGCATTTAGTGGTAAGAATGAGAGAACCGGGTTCAGTTCCCAGAACCTTATCCAAGTGGCTCACATGACCTATAACTCTTTCTCCAGGATATCCAACATGCCCTCACCTATGCATAGCCCCACACAGATACACATACGTACTCATAAATTAAAAAATAAAAAAGTCAATCAATATGAAGGCAAGCAATGCGGAGAGTACACACAAGAGCTAGGTAGCAGTCAGGCCTCAGGCCTCAAAGGGATGGTGCAGGCCTTAAACACAGCCCTAGGGACAATGAGGTGGAACATTGCTGCAAGTCTGAGGCAACCTGGACTGCAGTGACAGGATGATGTAGTGAGACATTGTCTCAAGACAAAATAAAATGTCAGGTGTGGTGGCCCGCTTCTTTAATCCTAGCAGTCTGGAGGCAGAGGCAGGCATATCTCTTTGAGTTTGAAACCAGTCTGGCTTGTACAGTGAGTTCAAGGGCGGCAAGCGCTACACAATTGGACTTTATCTTAAAACAGAAATTTAACTTGGAATGGTGGTGCACAACTTTTATATCAGTACTTGGGAGGCAGAGGCAGGCAGATCTCTGTGAGTTCAAGGCCAGCCTGGTCCACAACAGCGAGTTACAGAACACAAAGAAACACAAAGAAATCCTGTCTCAAAAAACCAAAATTATATATTCTTTACAAATACAATTTGAATTTAATTATTTTGGGTGGGGTGGTTGGAGGGATGTTTCAGAGGTAATTAGGAGTACTGACTGTTCTTTCAAAGGACCTGGGATTCCATTCACAGCATCCACAAGACAGTTCACAACTTGTCTAGAATTCCAGCCCCAAGGGATCTGATGCCTTCTTCTGGTATCTTAGAGCACATACAGTGTATACATACAGACAAGCAGAACATACATACATATAAAATTTAAAATCATTTAAGTTTTTTAGACTTTTGAAATTAATATGATCATCATCATCATTATTATTTTCTCTTTATTTTCCAAGACAGGGTTTCTCTCGGTAGCCTTTGCTGTTCTGGAACTTGATTTGGTCAAACCAGGCTGATCTTGAACTCAGAGATCTGCTTGCCTCTGCCTCCAAACTGCTGGGATTAAAAGGGCGTGCTCCACCATGTCTGGATGACTTCTAAATTTTCATGCATTTTTGGTGATTTTGTTTCTTCCCTTCTAATCTTCTGGAGCTTCTGAGTTCTGTACCATGCAATAAACTTCATTGCTCAGAGGTTTATTTTCCTCTTCCCCTCTCCCTGGGTGAGAGCCTAGGACCCACACAGCAACTAAAGGCTGAGTTGTACCTTCATCCTTACTACGTAGTTTTTACATTTATTTATTATTTATGTGCATTCCTGTGTGCATGTGCATGAATGTTTGCATCCATGTGTGTGCATTGGAGCTCTTGGGGAGGACAGAGAACAACTTTCAAGAGTTGGTTCTCTCCTTCGACCATGTGGGTTCCATGATCCCACTTATGATTGGTCGTCAGGCTTGGTTTCAAGGCAAGTGTCTTTTGATGCTGAGTGCTCTTCTTATTACTACATTTAGTGAAGCATTTGTGTCACACGCCTTTAATCCCAGCACTCAGGAGGCAGAGGTAGGCGGATCTCTGAGTTTGTGGCCAGCCTGGTCTATAAAGGCAGATTTCAGGACAGCCAGAGCCACACAGAGAATCCCTGTCTTGAAAAAAATAAAACTATTATCACTATTATTATTAAACATTTATTTTTATATTTCACATTTTTTGTTGTTTTTTGTTTTTGAGAGAGAGGGTCTCACTATGTAATTCTAGTTTTGAAACTCACTATGGGCTGGTTGGTGGTGGCTCACACCTTTAATCCCAGAGGCAGGTGGATCTCTGTGAGTTCAAGGCTAGCGTGGTCTACAATTGCTAGTTCCACCTTTCTTTTCCAGCTCTCTCCCAAAGAGGTAGCTGCTGCCAGGGCTCCTCTCCTCTCCCCTTCTTCTTCTCTCTCTCTCTGTTCTTTCCTTGTTCCCCTTCTCTTTCCCTCTCCCCTTCCTTTCCACAACACACTAAATAAATATCCAACTTCAAATAGTTCCAGAACACGTTCCAAAGCTACACAGAGAAACCCTGCCTCAAAAAAAAAAAAAATAGCCCCTTCTCTTTCCCTCTCCCCTTCCTTTCCACAACACACTAAATAAATATCCAACTTCAAATAGTTCCAGAACACGTTCCAAAGCTACACAGAGAAACCCTGCCTCAAAAAAAAAAAAGATAGTTCCAGAACACGTTCCAAAGCTACACAGAGAAACCCTGTCTCAAAAAAAAAAAAAAAAAAAAAAAAAAAAAGAAAAGAAAAAAAAAACTCACTATGTAGACCAGGCTGGCCTTCAACTTAGAGAACTGCTAACCTCTTCCTCCTGAGTGCTGGGATTAATGGCATGAAGCCACCATGACAGGCATTTAAAATTATTTTTTTTTTTTTTTGAGACAGGATTTCTCTGTAACTCTCTGCCTCCCAAGTGCTGGGATTAAAGGCATGCACCAACACCACCCAGCAAAATTATCTTTTTGTTAATTTATTCCTATATGTGAACTCTTTTTTAAAATAATTTATTTTTGTTTATTTACATTGATGTTTTGCCTGCATGTATGTCTGTGTGAAGGTGTTGAGTCCCCTAGAACTGGAGTTACAGACAGCTGTGTGCTGCCATGTGGGTGATGAAACTGAACCCTGGTCCTCTGGAAGATGGCTCTAAACCACTGAGCCATCTCTCTAGTCCCTATATGTAAACTCTTAAGAACAACAGTGTTTGATTGTGTGGGAAGTGGGTGCCAGGACTGGGCTTGAGGGCCTGGTTCTTCTGTCTTCCAAGAGCTTGAATTACAGTTGTACTTACCAGATAGAAATTGCATTTTTGTTTGTTTGAGCCAGAGTTGCTCTGTGTAGCTCTGGCTGTCCTGGAATTCACTATGTAGACCAAGCTGGCCTGGAACTCTCAGAGATTTGCCTGCCTCTGCCTTCTGAGTCCTGGGAATAAAGGTATGAGCCACCACTGCCCGGCTAAGGATTTAGTATCTCAGAGAGAAGTTTGGATCTACATTTGTGGGGTCTTGGATATTTTAAGGGAACAACAAAGACTCAAAAAGAGTTATATACTTTTTTCTCCCTTTGTATAATGTTCTTTCTACAAGCCAGCCGATGTAAAAGACTATTTAGTTTTTAATCGCAGTGATCTCATCTGAAGCCTCACCAGCTCTTTAACATAGTAGCAGGTGTTAACTGTGCATGACACTGTCCGTGAGAGGCAGACAAGAAGTCCATGCAGTAAGCCCGTCTGCCACAGGATAGAACGCTTTCCGACATAATAAAGTTTACCTGTTGAATTCTTTTGCAGAGATTTTGACTTAGATTAAGAATATACAGCTAAACTGGGCGGTGGTGGAACACATCTTTAGTCCCTCACCTGGGCGTGATGGCACATGTATTTCATCCCAACATTCGAAGGTAGGGACAGGAGATCTCTTTAAATTCGAAGCCAGCTTGGCATTCAATGTGAGCTCCTGCCCAGCCAAGGACATATAGTGAGACCCTGTCTGGAAAAAAATGGCTCCTTCCATGGTCAACATATGACTTGGTGATGTCCCAGAAGCATCTATTGCTCTCTAGGCGCTGGAGCCTCAGAACAGCAGGCACCCACTTTCGTGGATGCATAGAGAAATACAACACAGACAGGGTTCGCGCCTTCGAAGTCGTCTGGGCTTCGTGCAACGTGGCCCCAGCAAAAGGCACGGGCCCCACTCACCAAGCAAGACTCGCGGCAGGAAGTGGGCACGCGACTTCCGGCGCTCGCGGATGACGCACTGCACCCGGCTTCCGCATTGGGAGCCGGCAGTAGAACCAGGGACGCAGAGAGCTGGTGTCCCGGCTGCGGGGCGGCCCGCCGTCCCGGGGTGGGGATGCACAGGCGCGGGGTGGGAGCTGGCGCCATCGCCAAGAAGAAACTCGCCGAGGTGAGCAGGGAGGAGGGCGGGCCGCAGCCTACTCTCCCCGCGAGACACCCAACTCTCCCGGAGCGGAGTTGCCTTCCCCTGAATCGCCTTCTAACAATTGATAGAAGACAAGCTTCTCCGGAGCTCCGGAATGAGTGCCCTGGAGTGTCAGGAAGCAGCCGATGAAATCATTATTTAAGACAGACCCTTACCCTTACATACTAAAGCTGTGGCAGCACAATGGGAGCCTTAGCCCTCACTGTCTCAACTCATGCCGGGCTCTTTGTCTTACAGGCCAAGTACAAGGAGCGAGGGACCGTCTTGGCCGAGGACCAGCTGGCCCAGGTGAGTAATTGTCAGGCTCGAGTCAGAAACGGAGATCGAACAATACTACTCAGCATAGTTTTAATGTTATAGATTGTCTAGACTGAACTAAACATTGGGTGTCACTCAAATCCAGATTTCGTTTTAGGGAGATTCGCTAAGATTTTTGAGTGCTTAGACTTGTGTGCTTTCCCCGTTTTCCCTTTTATTTTACTTGATTATTGCCTTTTCATTGTTTTACTTTTTAAGATGGGGGTCTCACCTTGCTACCCAGGCTGAGCTTCCACTTTGTGGTTGGTCCCCCAGGCTCAGTCTCCTGAGTAGTATATGCTACCCACCACTCCCGGACCTCTGTTTTCCTTACATATGTGGTTGGTCATGTTCAAGCCTCATTACAGTTCCGTGTCAACCTAGATTTCAAAAAACAAAAAAATCAGTGTGCTGGAGATTTAGCTCAGAGTTGTAGAGGATTTGCCTAATATGCACAAACACTTGAGTGCCGTTCTCAGCACAACAAAAATTGAAACACATTTTCTTTAACAATTAGAATGACTCCTCCCTAAGAATGCTGATATTTATTTGCAAATAGCAGTGCAGTGGGACTTACATTGCATTAGGAAAGCGTAAACAAGTTGGATCCACGAAGCGTGTCTAAAGAAGTGAAACAGAAAGTTTTCTAAATCATACTATTACATAAGCCATTTTAAACTATAAGTCACAATGATTAATAAGAATTGTGTTGTTCAAGGTTAAACAGTCTGTTGAGCAGGTGTCTTTTTTTTTTTTTTTTTT